CTTTTTGCTAAATGATGACTATTATATAATTTTGGGTAATTTCATTATGCAGGTCATTTTAAGAATGTGAAAATAAATTAATAGTAATACAGCCAGGATTCCCAAAAAACAATTTTCGTTTATGTTGTTGCTGATTCAGTGAGAAAAAGAAAACAAAAAGACTGGGTGTGGTGGCTTACACTTATAAAACCAGCTGCTGGGAAACCTGAGGCTATTGGATCTCTTGGAATTGGGAGTTCTGAGCTTCAGTGGGCTATACAGATTTGGTGTCTAAACTAAGTTTGGCATCAGTCTGCTGAACCCCAGGAAGATGGGGACCACCAGGTTACCTAAGGAGCGAGTCAGAGATCCTTGCCAGTCATAGGATCAGGCACATGAGTAACCACTGTACTTCCAGCCGGGCTGGGCTAGTTGGGGAGACCCAGTCTTTTGAGACTCAGAGAGAGAGAGAGAAATAAAATAATTTTTATCTAAAATTTTAAAAATGAGAAACTTTGATTTTAACTGAAATAATGCCAAGTTAAAATCTGATAAAATAGTTTGTAATCTATTTTATAATCACCTTTCTCTAATATTGATGTGTATACTTTCAAGTCACAAAAAATAAATAAAAAATCTTTTGTAGGATTCATGTAAAAAAGGAAATTTGTGATGATGTTTTTTCCATCTAAAATGATTTTACATATTATTTTGTCTTTCATGGCTTTTTCTCAGTGCTCATTTTCCTTTATGCTGTGTTTTCATGCTGCTGAACCACCGCCTCCTGGATATTCTCTCTCTGCTCGCTTCTGGTTCTCTACCTGTCTACCCAGGATCTTCTTTGCTAGATCATTATCTTGTCTTTTGTCCCCTATATCTGAGTATCTCAAGGCTCTGTCCTTACCTCTCTGCAGTTTCTTCCTTGGTATTCTCATCTGCTCCCATGGATTCAGTTCTTTCTTCCGAATCTGTATCTGTCTAGCCCCTAATACTTCCTTAACTCCATTTGTGCATTCCTAACTCTCTGCGGGACGTCTCTACCTAGACGTCGTCTTATCCTAGACGTTTCAAACTTAACACGTCCAATATGGAACTGATTCTCTTCCTTTTGCCCCAAATCAATTCCTCCTCCAAACGTCCTTATTTCTGTTAAGGGTTGTACCATCAACTCCGTCATCCAGGTTTGCAACCTCAGAGCGTTTCCGTGTTCAGCTCTTCCTTTTCCTTCACTGCACTCGTTATTTAATTCTCAGCCAGTATTTGTCGGTTCCACCTGCATAATAGTTTGTGGAGCTTTCCCTCTCTCTCAGCTTACATAGCCACCAGCTTAGGTGAGGTCCTTATCTCCTGTCACCTAGACTAGTTTCCTCCGAGGCTTAGCTCCAGTTCTGCCTTCTGCGTGAGCCCTTTCTTGCTTCCTCTCCCAGTCGCCTTGGGTCTCCTTTAAACACGCCTCTGTATGTCCTGATTGTCTCCCACAGCTGGACTGTAAGTTTCTTCGGGTCAGGGACTGTTTGTCGTGGTTTCCCCAGCGCCTGGAATAATGTGGGGCACATAGTAGATTCTTGATAAATGCTTATTGATTGATGGATTGACTCTCGTAATAGCCTCCGAATCATTCCAGTCTCTTCATCTTCCTCTTCTTCTATCATCTTCCTAAGAAACAGGTTTAATTGTATCACTTACTTTCCCTAAAACCTTCAGTGTCTCCCAGTTTCCTTTAGAATAAAATGTTAATTTCTCCACCTGGCTATTAAGGTTTTTCTACAGTCTGACTCCAATGGACCTTTCTAGCCTCAATTCTCATATTATTGTTCCACACATTCTACTTCCTATCTCTATGCCTTCAGAGAACCTGGCCCCAAAGCCTGGAATCCTCATCGGCTCAGTTCAGACTCCCCTCCTATACCAAGCTTTTCTTGATCCTTCCCCTTGTGAGTTCTCTTTTCCTTCTCAGATTAGCTGGCGTTTATCTATCTGTTCACTTGTTGTTTCTTGGAAAAAAGGTATTCTCCTTCAGAATGGGGATTGTTATGTTTGAGTCTTTGTATTCCCAGAGGCTCATGTGCCTTATGTGTAGAGGGCTCTTGATAAATTCTTGTTGTTTGATGTATTGTAAAATAGAAGGACTTAAAATTGCAACTGCATGTATTCAGAAGCTCTCATAATACTTTATTGTGCATATTTTATTGTTAGTGATTTGACATGTGTAATTTCTTACCAGTGCCCTGAATTAATGGAAAATTATCACATTTAACCTTTCTTAACTTTGATTAATTTGCCAGGGCTTTTAATCCCCCTACCCCCTTTTTGGGTATTTATTCAAATTGTAATTAGATGGTCTTTCAGTTCCTTTCAGAGGATTCATCAGAGGATATGGAAAAACATTCTTAAAAGTAACAGAAAAATAATTTCACAAATTTGCTATGTCCTAAGAGGTCTTTTTTGATTTGTGATCTTTTGCTAGAAATGAGACTATTACTAAGATTGAGGTAAGTTAATTGAGGTAATTGAGGTAAATAAGATTGAGGTAAGATAAAATAATTTATCTAGCCATCCTTACGGTCCAAATATATTTCTACAATGCACACTATACAGACCTAACCATAGTTATCTTTAAAATAGTTGGAAGAGTTTATTTGTATTTTGAAGCGATTTTCTCTAAAGGCCCTATCCATAAACTGTTGTCCAAATCATCAACAGTGATTCAACCCTTTTTCAACATCAGTTAGTTCTCAGTGTCCTGTATTGTTGGAACCTCTAGAGGGCAGGACTGGGCACACAGTAAAGTACTTAGAGTCAGCTATGCAACGTAAATAACTGAAAATAAGGGTAGAAAATAGAAAAACTTAGTTTGTGTCTAGGACAGTGCCTAGTACATAACAGGTGTTTAATTGATACTTGCCTGCTTAATTGATTGAATTAAAATCCTACAGAAGCATGCCCAGATTTAGGACCTAGATAATTTTTAATTGCCTGGAGTTAAGAGACTTCATAGGTTTCTTGCTGGTCATTGTGACAATACAGATTGTCTCCCAAACAAGTCTGTTAATAATGCACGATTCTAAATAGCCAATTTGACCTAATTTAGAACAGTCTGAACTTGTCTCACATTCACAATGAGACTGTAAGACTGATAGAAATTAACTCAGGAAGTCATTGTATCTGTCGGGAACTGAAAAATCTCCCTTTTCTTGGACAAAAAGCCAGTGAGGGGAGCAGATATGTTACATAATCTGAGGAATTATTAACCACACAACTTGTGATGTGGTAGAAATTATGTATTTTCATGAATACCATGTACCTCTAACTTTAAGAACTCTTAATTCTCCCTAAAGTAAAATGTTCATACTGCCTATGAATGTTTTCTTTCTGTGGACAAAGTTAAGGTCAGAACAATCAAATTAGTTGGCAGTCCTTTGCATGTTAGTTGATGGATTCTGGAGAATCTTATCATGAAAATGGTTACCTTGGTTATTGTCCAAGTTTTCCTGGCTCAGAATAGTCACTTATTAATCTCTTACTTTGTGTCAGACATTAGACTAAGTGCTGTGTGTACAAATATAAGCAGAAAGAAAGACAGTCGCTGCCCTTAAGGTGTTATCCTTCTAATGGGGAAGACTGCGAACTGACACAAAAGGGGAGGGGGCAGCTACCTGGTGTGGTGGGCTGAGTACTGGGTGTGGAGTCAGGAAGGCTCATTTTCATTTCCTTGTCTGTCTGTTTTGCTTCTGCTGCCATTGTTCAGTGGTAGTGAGTCGGGATTCTTTAAGGTCTTGATATCCAGTGTATTATGCCTGGAAGTGATCATGGGATTATTTAGTATCATTGTGAAATTCATATACACTTCATGTTTTATCACCATTAAGTAAAATGTAAGGCAAAATACTCTGTTTTATAGATGAAAGGAAGTACTTGTGCTGCCGATTTTGTAATTTGCCACATAATTATTAAATTTAAAGGAATGTCATGAACTTATGAATATGGAGAATTCTTATTGAATTGTAGTGTTTGCTTACTTTTAGCATTATTTATCCAGTATCCACTAAAACCTTGCTCTGATGTCTTGTTGTGGTGAGAAGGTGATGCTGGATTCTCAGAGATTACTTTAGTTGATTATAAGCTCCAGCAAGTCTTACCAGACTGGAAAAGCTTCAAATATGTGAGCAGAGACTGGGCATCCGTCATCTGAGGATCAGCCTGGTTTTGGAGAGACTCATTATCAGGAGGTTGGCTACCACAGCAGTTCACGAAGCAGTCCACTAAAGAATGGAGGTGCTTCATCAGTGGGAGAATTGGCCACATAGATGGAACCATTTCTCTTGATGTTATAATAATGTTGAAGCTGCTGTCTCCATGTGAAGCAGTTTAAAGTGCAAACTTTTAAATGAACAACTTTATAGTGGGGTTTTGTGATGTTTTAATGATGTTTTGAAACTATGTTGGTTTACGTAGGCTACCTATATGAAAATTAAGGAAGGTAAGAATTTAGTTATTCCCAGGTAGTGAAAAGGATTTATTTCAATACAGTCATATTTCAGTCAGTTAGCAAGCATGTGCTTACTGTGTGACAGACACTGTGGTAAGTACTGGAGCTACAAATAGAAAGAATGCAGCCTTCCTTGCTCTCAGAAAATTTATATTCTAATCAGGGAAACAAAAGTACATATATATGTATATGTAGGACATATATAAAGAGAATAAATACAAAGTAAAGCAGGTGGTATTTGCCTTCTATTTCTTAAAGGAAAAGGTGGAATTGAGGGGTGAGTATATTCCAGGCATGGGTCATGATGGAGCAAATGCATCTGATAAAGTTCAGATAATACCACTATGTTCCTAAGCAGTAAAGCAATATTAAGATATTCTAAGTCTTAAAACATTGGTCTGCACAAATTATGTTATACACTCTCCTCTTACCCTTTTCCCAATAATTTAAAAATTTTAAGTGTAAGAAAAATTGGACATCTCTAGCCTTTTTGAAATAATGTTGTGATTTTGTGTTTTCTGTATTCTTCCAGGAAGAAGTGCTATTTTGAAATGTCTCTTGGATATTCACAAAATTTTTCAAGAAAATGACCCAGCGTATATTCTAAATGATCTCTATATCTCAGACTACTGCATATGGATTCAGAAAGTCAAGTAAGTTATGTCAGCTGGACTGGAACCAGCTTCTAACCTGTGAGTGGCCAGAGCCACACAAAGCAGACTAGAGACAGGAGAGTCAGGACACAAACAATTTTAATTAATTTCAGAATGAAGAAAATGATGCTTGCAAGTGGAAGCCCCCCCCCACTTAAGAAGCGGGGCTTAACCTGCCGGGGCAAGGCATAAAAAACCACAAGTGGCTGGACCATGACATAATCCTTCTCAGGTCTTGAGTAGCATTTCCCACATCAGGCTCATGCGTGGACAGTGCAGGCGTCCTTGGGTCCTGTGGGAACAGTCTCTAAGTTGATTCTCTCACAGCAGGGTACAGAACCCTGTACAGTGGCAACAGAAGTGTAGTACCAGGTTTGGTTCATTTGGCAGTTACAAGGAACGGGGATTGTGAGCATGTTAAGAGATGTTATAGATGTTGGCTCTCAGGTCCCTGGGAAATAGGAGTAGCTAAACCATAAATCCCTTAGTGAACGCCTGGTGCTGGTCAAAGCAATACACTTTGCCAGAGGGCGAGATCATCCAGAGAGCAAAGGATTGTTGTTATGCCAAGCTCAGGGCACAGCCTGCTTGCCGGGCCTTAACTCGGGGAAAGAGGGTGTCTTCAAAATATTTTGACAGTTATGTTACTGTGCTTGTGAATATGCATGTGTTAAAGTATTGGAAGATAGCCTATTTTCTGAACATCTTAGAGCTAAAAATGAAATAATCTGAAGGACTTACTGACTGATATTGAAACTTAAATCCACCAGTACCTAAAAATGAAAAGGTCAGTAGGGATGAGTTGTATTTGCATAGGGAAAGAGATGCAGGCAGGTGCCTGTTAACTGTTTAGTTAATCAAATTAGCATTGAATTGTTGGTAGAATTTAAAATCTTAATGCCTGTACATTTTATAGTACAGCTGATGATTGTGTATATCCAGTACTACTGTTCTTACTATACAAATTTTACATTTTAGAACATATATCTTGTTTAGCATTTCTTTTCTTTTCTTTTCTTTTTTTGGCAAGGCAATTGGGGTTAAGTGACTTGCCCAGAGTCACACAGCTAGGAAGTGTTATGTGTCCGAGGCCAGATTTGAACTCAGGTCCTCCTGACTCCAGGGCTGGTGCTCTATGCACTGTGTCACCTAGCTGCCCCAGCATTTCTTTAGCTATTAATATTAAGGGATATGCTTATAGTTAAAAGATCTGAGAAGAAACATATAACCATTGACCCCTTGTGCTGACTACCCAGAGTGTCCATCATTCAGAGCCTTTAGAATATAGTAATGACAGCTGCATTTATGTGGTATTTAAGGATAGCAAAGCCCTCTTAAATACATTATTTCATTTAATCCTCCCAAAAACCCTGGGGGATAGGTGCTATTATTATCTTCACTTTACAGTGGAGGAAACTGAAGCTGATAGGTTCAGTGTCTTGCTGAGGGTAACAGGGCTAATCCAGATTCAAGGGAAGTCAGATCCAGCATTCTGTTAGGACACTTAGTAGCAAATGTTTGGGGGTAATTCTTAAAAACACATGTAACTAGTAGTGTATAGAACAATTAATCACAGATGGAAATCTGATCTTTTATGGGTTTTATATATTCCATTTTATTCAAGAAGTAAGAAATATGTTGTCTAAAGATGCAACGTAAGTTTAATTTGGTGAAGAATCTGGATTATTTGTTCCATGGATCATGGATTTAAAGGATTCGTGAAAGCATAGATTTATAGTTGGAAGTGACTTTATAGATCAACGAGTCCAACCCCTCTTTACAGATGAGGATACTGAGACCTGGAGAGGTTAAATAACTTGCCCAAGGCTATACAGGTAATGAGGACCAGAGTCCAGATTTGATCCCATAGCTTCCTGATGTTCAATCCAGTGTTCTTTTCCATGTACCACCTGACTCTTTTTCACAAATTTTAGAGCCTTCCATTTCAGAAGCTGTTCTCTGTTAACTAAGAACATGTGAGGTTGTCATGTAAGGGTCAGTTGAAAAAATAGGTGACATTTAGCCTGGAAAAGGGAAATGACAGCTGTTTTTAAATACCTGAATGCCTCGCTTATGGAAGAGGGATTTGATTTATTCACCTTTTGCCTCTGTGACTGTGCACAGGTCCTTTACAATATCTGAAATATCTTGCCTAGCTTCCTTCAAAACATAACCTCAGGGCTGCTTTGCTATTTACTTCTCTGTGTACATGTTGCATCTTTTTCTTTCCCTCCAGTATAATGTAAGCTGTCTGAAGGTAAAAACTGTCTTATTTGTGCCACCAGCACCTAGTTTATTGTTTTACATTTCACATTTAACAGGTTATTTCCAACATTGCCCTACTTGCCTGCGTCCCCTTCTGAACTTTTCTGCCTCTGTTCTGTATATATTTTGTTAATGTTTTATTAATGCCGCTTTCTTTTCTTACTTTTTTAGTATTGCTATCACTACACTCTCCCAAGTTTCCCCTCCCCTGAGAAGTCATCCCTTGTTATAAATAAGATAAAAGAAATGCACACATTAACCATATCTTAAAATGTAAGTTTCTTGTACCTCTAATTCATTACTTCTCTACCAAGAAGTGGAAGCATGATTTACCATCATTGTGGAACTGTGTTTGATCATTACACTGATTATACTTCTCAAGTCATTCAAAGTTGTTTTCTTTTACATTATTTTCTCTTGAATCCTGTATATTTGTATTTCAGAGTTTCTTCTCAGCTTTCATTCCTTCGTTAGGAATAATTAAAAGTTCTCTGCCCTATTAAATATTCATTCCCAATTCCCCTCCAAGGATTATATTCAGTTTTTCAGGGTAAGTTATTCTTGCTTGTGAGCCTCTATCTTTTCCCTTTGGGGATATTTTTTCTTTTCTTTTATGGTCATTGCTGCCAAGTCTTGTATGATCCTGATTGTGATTACTTGACCTCTTTCTTTCTGGCTGATTTCAGTATATATTTTTTTCTTTGGCTTGGAAGCTCTAGCTTCTGGCTATGATGTTCATGAGTGTTTCAAATGTGTCATTTCTTCCAGGAGTGGTGAATTTTTTTCAATTTTCAGACTTTTCTCTCTAGTTCTAATAGATCTAGGCAGTTTTATTGTATAATTTCTTGAAACACGATATCCAAGGTTTTTTTTTTTGGGTCTTGGTTTTCAGGCAGTCTAATAAGTATTAAATTATTGCTCCTTGAGTTGTTTTTCAGGTCAGGTCTTTTTATATTTAAGAACTTCCTCACCCCCACCCCCATTTCCTCACTCACCTCCTTTTTTTAAACTTTGCTCTGATTTTTCTTGTGTTAGGGAATCATTGAGTTCTTATTGTTCTATTGCTTGGGTAAGGTATTCTATCTTTTGTTCCAAGCTATTTATTCTCCTTTCAATTTTCTGCCCAAATTCTTCTTTTATAATTTCATTTTTATCTCTTGCAACATTTCTTCTCATCCCTATCAACATACTTTTGACTAAGCCATCTTTTTCTCTGAGGTTCTTTGCCTGTTGTTGTAGGTTATTCTCTTCTAGGTTTTACCTCATGATCTTCTCTTGACCCTTAGTATTTCTTCATTACATTTGGTGTTTTCTTCTGTTAGCTTGTGTTTTCAGCCTCAGTTTTTGGATTAGGATTGTGTGTTCAAGTCAGTCCTCTTTGACAGTCCTTCACGGGCTGGCTAAGCTTTGTTTGGTCTTGTCTCCTTTGTAGTCTGGATTCTGTTGCTGCTGTTGATCTCAATCACATAATTGGTATTAGGACCCACCTTCTAACTTTCTGGCTTCTGTTCTAGTCTCCTAGTGGCTGGAGACACTGTGTGTTCTGATCTTAACTGGCCTCTGTCTGCTTCTTGCACAGTCCCCAACTGGAAGTTCTCTTCCCTAGTGTGTCCATGAAAGGCCCCAGTGGATTATAGATTATGCTGGTCTTAAGTCTCCTTCATTGTCCTCCCTGTCCCCACAGTGGTGCCTGGTATGATTTGCCCATTTCTTAGGCAGCTGGGTGGCACAGTGGATATTGCACCGGGCTTGGAATCAGGAAGACTCATCTTCCTGAGTTCAAATCCGGCCTTAGACACTTACTAGCTTGTGTGACCCTGGCCAAGTCACTTAACCCTATTTGCCTCAGTTTCCTCATCTGTAAAATGAGCTGGAGAAGGAAATGGCAAACCACTCCAGTATCTTTGCCAAGAAAACCCCATGTGGGGTCATGAAGAGAAGGACATGACTGAAACAACTGAACAACAACCACCTGTTATTTCTTCCAGTCTTTTAAATGAATCTCCCCTCCTAGTGAGCTGAGGGGATTGGTCTTGTCCCCAACTTCTGTTTTAACAAGCAAGGCCCTGGATCTAGCTTTACGTCCCCTCTTACTGGTGCTCCTACTGGCTTGTAGCTTCACTTTTTGGAGCACTGGCTTATCAGGAGCATTTCTGAGAACTCCTGTTAGTTTTCCTGAGCTGGAGCTTGCTTCCCTTGATTATTAGTCCCTCCACAAGCCTCTGTGCTTGCCTGAGCTTGAATTGACTTCCCTAGCTCTTCTGGCTCTTCTCACCAGCCCCACTGGCTTCTGCATTTACCCAAATCAAGCTGGCTTTCATGGTATTACCCCTCTGATGTCCTTTGGTCTCTGAGCATTTCTGGACTGGATGGAAGGACTTCTCTTTTCCATTTACCTTCTTTATTTTCGTCTTTCTGCCATCCTTTTCTGATATTTGCAGTGGTATCAGTAGGAGAGCTGGAGTTTTCTACAACTTTCCAGTTTGCCATCTTAGTTGGAAGTTCTACAATAATGAATTGCTTCATAGGAGGCACCTAACAAGTGTTTTTAAAATTAATTTATGATTAGCCTTACAGAACAGAACTGTGACTGATGGGTGTAAGTTAAGGTGGATTTTGACCCAGAATAAGTAAAAAAAATCTTGCTTTTTGAAATAGTTTTTATTGGTATCTTGTTTTTGCATCACCTCCATTTTCCACAGTGTTCCTTCCCTAACCCCCTCCTTTCCAGAGAG